CAAGGTAAGATACTATTGGTTGCAAAAGGGGAACCCGAAATCCCGAACCTTGCAAATGACAGCAGCTAATTTGATGATTAAAAGCTGTGAAAATGTGTAAACATATTATGGTTATATGGCAGGCAGTCATATAATTAAGAAAGATAAGCCCTGAATGCAAAAGATGCAGTTGACAAAGTTCACTCGATGAATTTCTTTGACAACTACTTCAAGCCAAAATGAATCTCAAATCTTAACAACAATTGTTCATAAATACATTCAGCAATCGGCATTGACATCTCATTACCAAAAAATCTCTTCATTCAATAAGCAACAAAGCTTTTCATAAAATAATATGAAAACAGCTTTGCAGGGAAGAACTAAACCTAGTATGAAAGTAAAATTACATCATCGGCATGGATAAATAAATGGCCTAAAAGTCAAGCTCTACCATGATACTGATAAAAATTGGGCTTTGCAGTTTGCATCATTTCAAGCCTTAAAGTAGTACCAAATTTCATAGAAACTAACCGATTCATGATATCCAAACACACAACAGCCTGGTTTCATTCAAGGATCAGAAGATCACAAGCAAAGAGAAAAGCACATATATCAAGAAACACGTGTAAGCAATCAACCCACGGTGCTCATCTCCATACGATGCCAATTCAACCAGAAGCCGGGTGCAAACTCTTGTAGACCATATGACAAAAACACCTGCCACGACCTTAATCGCCACCCCTCCGGGCAAGAACAGTGATACTGCCGACAAGAGCACAACGGGTAGCATACAATAGCCGACCAAACTGACGCATCTGTACAAATCCAAGTTCCCGTTTCGTCCAGCTAGCATGTTGAACACCACATACAGAAATACGGAAGCCATGACCACCCACCCCAAGATGATTCCGAAATGGAACTTCCCAGCGAGCAATTGGAATAGCCCAAACGCCATGAGGAACAGAAATGGGCCGGAGAGATCGGCATCTTCATGAAGATCTGCCTTGACTCGGAAAGGGTTCAGAATCGACAGAGTTTTCTGGTAAATTTGTTTGGTGTTGATCCCGAGTTCCTCGAGAAGCGGAGCCTCGTCCTCGAATCCAGTAGATCCGCCGCTGGTGGTGGTGGGGGCGAATTGTGGGGTGGAGAACGAGGTAGACGCGGGAGCGGAACCGATGTCAAAGGACATGAATGGGATGTTAGGGTTCGAAGATCTCGATGGCTGGAACGGTGCCGCCGGTGGGCGACGCTGCTGTGTGGCTGGGGTTCCGCCGGACGGGAATATGACCGGCGGTGCTTTAAATTCCTTCGCCATCGACCGCAGATCTGCGATGTATTAAAAGGTGTTAAAAATCTACTAAAAGGAGTGAAATAGAAATGCTGGGGATTTAATCGAATTTTCGAGTGAGCTTCAACTCTAAATAGCAGACTAGCAGTGCTGCACGCAATCTGAAATAGTGAAATGTACTCCTACCACTTTGATTACAAACTTCCAAAATACTCCGTACCAATTACATAAAAAAGTTTTTTCCAAAATAATCCCTGCTAAAAAAATATTTATGAAATTGCAATGCAATTAAAACTAATATTATTAACTATGGTTGGTCAAAATCGCCAAATCAAAAGGTGACTTACAAACCCCCAATGTGTTTGGCTACTCTTGTATACTACGTGCAACCGAACAAGGTAGCAAGGGAAGCTACACAAACAGTACATGGGGCCATGGGCAGAGCTAAGGGGCCAACCGGGCCCCGGCCCACCATGAATTTGAAAATTCTTTGTAGTTTTAGTGTAAAAAACTATGTGTAAAAATTTATTTGAAAAAATTCTTTGTACCGGTCCACCCCAACCTTCTATCCTGACTATGCCCTGATTAGGCCCATGGTATAAAAATCCCATTTTTATTTAAAGGTCTATAAGTTTTTATTTTTTATTCCAATGTTTATAAAAATATATTAAAATTCATAGTTTTTCATTATCTTTCATGACACCAATATTGAATACTTCAAGGTTAGAGATATTTTTGTATTGTATTAATAAGTTTTTTTTGGCCATAACTACAAGGCTAGATAAACTACAATGTTTATTAAATAATCTTCTTATTTTCCAATGTCCATATGGAATACAGTGTATTTCATACTGAGTATTATATAGAGAAATAAGGCTAAAGGGTCAAATAGGTCCCTGTACTCATATCAATAGCTCAATTGGGTACCCGAACTAAAAAAAGGTCCAATCCAATCCTCCAACTCTTCAAAATCGTTCAATTTGACCCTTTAGCCGGTAAACTCCAGGTACTCAATTGAGCTATTGATATGAGTACAGGGACCTATTTGACCCTTTAGCCTTTGAAAAACGAAAAAATTGAACGATTTTGAAAAGTTGGAGGATTGGATTGGACCTTTTTTTAGTTCGGGTACCCAATTGAGCTATTGATATGAGTACAAGGACCTATTTGACCCTTTAGCCATAAAATAATTTCTATTATGTGACAAAACTAAAGATATGGGATGAAGATGTAACTTGGCTATATTACGATTAAATTTTCTATTAGTGTGCTATAAATGTGCACTCATAATCAATATAGAGTCTTTTTAATCACTAGCTTATTAGCCAACTTTTTCATCAAACGGGTTGATAGAGTATTAATCTAGAGAGAAGTGAGAGTTAGAGAGAGAAAATTATCAATTAATATTTCTCAACCCCTACAACTACCCCTAGGGGTTTTTTATAGGGAAAATGTGGATTCAGACTCCCAGGTCTTGGGCCTGAGAAGCTCGGTACAAAATAAAGCCTCTAATGGGATGGGTACATAATTTATGAGACCAAGTGTAAAATATAACCTGTCAAAGTCTTCTTGACCGACGGGGGGTCATATACTCCATCACAGGTAATTATTGATTTCGCTGGTTGAATTGCGTAATAATCAAAATAACTAAGATTATAGTTAATTTTCAAACTGAATTGTTGAATTACTACATGTGACCATTTTGTTTATTTTTTATATAAAATTTTCATTATTTTATTAATAAAATATATTTTAAATTTAATTTTTTAATATTTTAAGCGAAATCATCCAATTAAGCACTTCAGCCTGTACTTCATCAATTTATGTAGAATCAATTTTTTCGTTTTTTATTTCCTCCATAATTCCACCAGAAAATTAATAATTTTATTTTAAAATCCACATTGATTTTCTTTCATTGTTCATCTTGGAAGACCTGTTTTGGCTTATTTATTCCTGGAGGGTTAAAAGACATGATCATAGATCTAAATTGATTATGGGTACACTTTTAAAGCTACATTAATATAAAAATTATACATAATTAGAATCTCTAAAAATTACCAAGTCACATATTCATCCCATATCTTAAGTTTCATGAAATAATAGGAATCATTTCTTTATATAATACTCGATGTCAAATAATCCACTTGGATATTAGAAAATAAGAAAATTGTTTAATAAGCATTCATTTTTTTTTAAATTTATATATTCAATACTTGTGTCATATGAAAAATAATAAAAACTTATAAGTTTTGATATATTTTTTATAAAAATTGAAGCAAAAAAGAAAAATTTATAGACCTTTAAAGAAAAATGTGATTTTTATATCATGGGCCCCACCTTTTTATTTTGGTATATAGTTTTAACTGGACTGCAATTTCGTAAATATTTTTTTGTTTGACATTAATTCAGAAAAAAAACTGTACATCAAAAGATATACTACTTCGTCCCAAAATGATTGTCCTGTATTTCCTATTTGGGGTGTTCCAATCTGATAGTCATCTTTCCCTTTTTTGTAAAGAAAATAAAGTAGACTACCATTTATAATCCTCCTTTTTAATGAACAGTAAAAGTAAAGGATTGAACAGTACAATATAGTAAGGTTATATGCGTCCTTTACCACTTTTTCTTGATATTTGAGCCCAAAAAGTATAGGACCATCAATTTGGGGCGGATGGAGTAATAAAAGTATGATTAGCTTTTAATTTTTCTTATTAAACATCATTATTACATGTGTCAATAATAGAGCCCGTTTGGTAAATCTGTTTTCCGGCTTATCAACCAATTTTTTAACCAAACACGTAACATTTGATTTCACGCGCTGAACTATGCAATAATAAGAAAAATAAGGTTGAAGTTACTTTTCTGACTGTATTGACTGAAGTTATTGTACATGACAATTTTAGTTATTTTTTCATATAATTCTTTCTTTATTTTATTAATAAAATATATTTTATGTTTTTTCTCATAAATTAGCAGAATCAGCCAATACAACCACTTCAGTCAGAACATAATAAATATCAGCATAATTAGCCGATTTCAGGGTTACCAAACGGGCTCATAGGGTGAGGAATCCAAAGTTTCATATTACTATGAGAGTGCATCAAAGATTATTTTTGAATCTTTTTATTTATTTATTATAGTCATGGATAAAACCACGAAACCAATTCAAGAAAATATATCACTAATCTGTCTCGATTAAAAGTTCTCATTACAAAATGACATGATTATTTAGACAATAATTAAATAAGATTATTGGTGTATTTTTTGAGAAATAGTTTTGAATCTTTGATAGGCACATAATATGATGGGGTCATTAATGATAATTGTGATGAGATGTATTGTTTTTAATATTCGATGATTAGATTGTCATTTAAGAGTGTTAATTATTTTCTAAAATATAATTGAGAGCCTTTATATAGGACGTTTAAAAAAGAAATTTGGAAACCTTAGAATGGGATGGTGGGAGTATGATGCATGAGGTTTACCAATGATATTATGTTGATTGATAAGACAAGATCGGGTGCTAAATCAAATTTGAAAGTATGGTGACAAACTTTGGAAAGTATGAGTTTTAGATTGAGTCGAAGCAAGGCTTTTAAGAGAATAAAATCTGGTTGTATCCAACGTTTCATTCATTTTTTGGGACTTTTGAAACGATGAATGTTGGGGACTTTTAATTCAGTGTTAATACAATAAATGCAGAAGTTAAAAGATAATCACAATTAAATCATACGGAGCATAAAACTTAAAGCATGTATATCCTTGTACAAAAATAAAAAAACTACTTTTAATAAACATATCTTCTGCTGCTTGGCGCATTTTTGGGGTTTCAATTGCCGAGATAAAATCTGTTGTCCTCGAGTTGCAAATCCACCTAGAAAAGTCCCAGTATCTAATGTTTTACGGAAATCAGAGAATTACCTGCATAACTCAGGCGTCTTACTCTGTGCAAACAATGCTCACTCAATTCTTTGCTATGAATTCAACGGACCAAGTCGCGCGTACATTGAACCTTCTTTATGTGGAATTCCCACACTATTTTGTTTGGACTGCCCTTTAAAAAAATGGACTCAATGTCAGAGGAGAGAGGTCCTTGGTCGCCTTGTTACTGTCAATCCTGTCGAGGGATAACACTATTTTCTCCGTCTCTTACTTAGTAATGTGTGTGCGCCAAAGTCCTTTGCAACCTTGAAATGTGTCAATGGAGAAGCATTTCTCACGTTCAGGGCATCAGTTGAGTGGTTGGGCCTGTTATCGGGCGATTTCATTGTGCGCGCTTCCCTTGATGAGGCAGTTGTATTCCAACTACCCATCTTTGCTTTTCTGCAGTCCCGGACCCACACACGTTGTGGATTGAATACAAAGTGCACCTGTGCGAAGACTTGGCTACATTCCAGCCCCATGCTGTGGCAGAACGGGCTGTCTTGGCATAGTTGCGTGACTTATTTGCTGCAATGGGAGGGATATCAACTCCTTTGATCTCTCTGACGAAGAAATTGAAGCACCAGCTACCGGAGGGTTCAGTCATTGACCGGGCTAAACTTGCAAGTGTACAAGTGCCGATATAGTTATAAAATCCGGTAAAATATCGGGTCGAATCCATAGGGAAACGTTGTTTAATTTAGTCCGAGAGTAGATAACTTTAAATAGATAAATGAGTAAAGTGCAGGGATTTTGATTAGTGTCTTGTTGTGAAAACAACTTGGTTCTTCTCTTTAATTTTCAGGGATATAACTTAAATTAGTTTGAGTTTAAAGTGATTGATAACAACAACTAAGGCTTCGAGAATCACATAAATGCTTTAATTAGGGTTGAATATTAGTTCTTTGCCAATAATTATGAATACGATGTCGCTAATATATTCTCAACTCCGGTTAAGGCAGCGAGAGCGTGGTTTTCGTTACGTGTAAGTCCCGTTATGGCTTACATTCATCTACCGAAAACCCCGTTGAATATCAAGACATCACACCCGTATCATATAAGACCGGATATATTTCTATTCTCGGTACTATATATGTTTATCCTTTAATGAACATAGTTTAGACTTCAACGTTAATTGCAAGTATAAACTAAATTTAACATAACTTCTATGTTGTACACCATAGTCATAAACAATCAATATATGAAGGATAAATCACAATTTATTGGTTTATAACTTTTATCAAACACCTAGTGGGCATAGAAGTTCATCCCTAGCCTTAGCTAAGAAATTAGCTACTAATGCTCATATTAATTACAAAAGTGTAACTAAGAATAAAGAAATACAATAACATACAAGAAAAATACCTAGAACCAATTGTAGAGGAGAGAAATGGCTTCTTCTCCAACTCTTAAAGATAATACAAAAATAAAATATATAAACTGAATTTTTAGCTCCAAAGATGGAATGATGATCTTGTTTGATGAATTGAGGGCTTTATATAGGCTAAAGATTGGCATCTTTTAGTCTATTCGAGCCCAACAATTAGGCATGAAAGATATATTTGATCAGATCATGAGAAATGTGAGAATTTCCCATCAAAATATTACTTTAACTTCATTCCATTGTAGGATTTTTCACTCATAAAAGAAAAGGATTTAACTATTTTTATCTTTTTAATATGATTAAATGATTCATATTTTTACAATAAAGCAAGAGTACACTTCTTCACGGACTAAATGAGTGGAAAAATCATATGATTGAGTATGAGAGGAAGAACTTTGAAAGTGTTTTAGAAGATTTTCATACCTACTCTCGCACGTACGTTCCTCAAAATTCCCGCAGTCATGTAGTGTGAACCTACATCCTATGATGCACAAAGAATCAAACCAATTTCAGACCTATCAGATTTCACATAACACCCAGGGTCTTGATGAAGATTTTAACACGTATGGTTGTGATCTTCCACCACAACCACAATGCAATCACATTTTTGTCTTAAAGATGTGTTTAACATGGACTTAGAAACAACCATCAAAGTCCACATTATGATTTTATAGTAGCAGTCATTTTAGATTTTGAGAGTAATCTTGTTAAACTTTGCCACAACTAGTGTTCATTGGGCTCAAACACACATAAAAATGCACACCACAACAACTCAAATTAGACACGTTTTTATTTTTTTTATCTTTCCCAAACCATTTTATATTTTTCCGGCCATGACAAATAAGTACAACTGCAACAACTGAACACTCAAATTAAACCTTGAACACTACACACACACAAAGCAAAACACTCGAATAATGGGTGGCCGATCTTAAACAAAGAGATTAACTTTGTTATTAATTTGGGGGGTTGGATGGGTTGGGTTTGATCTTGGTTGGATCACTAGTGTGTCCAGAGCCTTCAGGCTTCTCACTTAACTTTGCTTTTAGAGCGAGCAAATCTTTGATCTCAGCCTTCAATGCCTCATTCTTCTTGCTCCAACGATCAATCTCTAGAATCAGCTTCTGATTTTCTTGAACAGTTTGATAGTTTCTCCAAGCCAAGTCCCTATTGCCTCTCTCCATATATGCGACTTTGAATTGAATTGTTTGCTCAATATAGTTATAAAATAAATGTATATGACTATACAATGAATGGGTTGGTCTTGCTGCATTATTTATAGACAGTAGAGGAGCCAAGGGGGTGGTTAGTTGATCCCCTACGAACACACAAAACATTGAAATAGCTTCAATTCGATATATTATGACTCTCGTAACTCATTATAAATTAAAAGTTATGACTCCTTGAAAAATCAGTATAATCTAAACTTGAAATAGGCAAAATTTGATGTTTAAACGTAGCACATAATATGAAAAAAAAAACACTAATATTACTCTTGAAAAAGTGATGGACAAAAATGTGACTTGGTAGCTTTTAGTTAGTGACTTTAATTATGTTCAAAGTTACAATGATGTAGTGACTATGGTATAAACATTGAACATAATAATAGTCACTAAAAGTTACCAAGTCACATTTTTGTCCATGACTTTTTTATTAGTAATATTCTAGGAAAAACCTCATGTAATATTAGTTAAATTTCTTAAATTCTGAAAAATAATGTTTTGTTCACTCATAAATTGCGGGATGATTAATATATATATATATATATATATATATATATATATATATATATATATATATATATATATATATATATATCAAACTTGTAACTTTCTATGTCTCATTTAAACTAAGATTCAACTTTGTTAGATATGGAACTAATATATGAATGAGGTTGGTGAATTTGATGAGCACAACTAATAATGATCTTTGGTAGCTGTCTTTCCTAAATCCCGGATCCTTTAGCCGTTCATCCGCGAAAGACAAATAGAGGATGCTAGAAAATGCGCCATTATCACCTCTTGGGTAATCATTTGTGATTTGGCGTAATATATTTCTCGCATGACCTTTGCTTTAATTTAAAACCAAACCAGGGAAAAAATGCCCATTCGTGGAAATGCGTTAGGAGAGGCGAAACACCGCTTTTGTAGCCAAAATCCTTCACAGATAAGGAGATTTGTTAGGACTCGACATTAATTAAATTATATATATATATATATATATATATATATATATATATATATATATATATATAGGGAAGAGATCAAATAAAAAGAGGTTCTCCCGTGCAAAGTGCGAACAATTGCACTTTTTCTTCACCGCGTTGCACTTTTGCGTGTTTCTGTTGCACTTTTTCGCGATGGCAAAAAATTTCGTTTTAATTACGAAATTGCCACCGCGTTTTTGATCAAATTTAGTTCACTTTTAGCTCATTTTGAACCATTAGATCTCAAAATGAACGCACGAGATTAATTCTCACTTTGCATGGGAAGACCTCTTTGTATTTGAACCCTCCCCTATATATATATATATATATATATATATATATGTATGTATGTATGTATGTATGTATGTATGTATGTATGTATGTATGTATGTATGTATGTATGTATGTATGTATGTATATATATATATATATTACATACATACATTATATATATATATATATATATATATGGTTTTTAGAATGTGACATTACTACTTACTATGGTAATGTAATTAAATCTGTTACATTTATATATAAACCATAGAGAGAAACTTTCCAATTTCCATAGCATTCAACACTCACAAAAAATGCATCCCATAGATAAATGGACATTGATTAACTATAGTCATATTAGTAATGAGATAATATTAGGTAATTGTAATTTTTGTTTGTTTATTGAGTGATTTGAGTCATAACATATTTTGAATATATATATTCTTTGCAAGTTTCTGGATACGAATCACACAATAAATTCACAATTTCATTCTATATAAACATTTATATTTCAAACTTTATAAATATGTGTAAGGGACGCTTAATGTAATAAGAATAAAACATAATCAATATTGACGATGGTAATGTTTCATATAAGTAGATTACTTACATACATTCACATTCTCCTTCAAGTTCTCACACCATGGACTTCTACTTGGCATGAATGAGGCCCCAAGTTCCACGCCGGTTCTGACCGGTCCATCCCTAACTTCGTGTACAACATAACATCATTTTTAATAACCATATAACATCATTTTTAATAACCGCAAGACTATATTCACTATTAACATGAAACCTATATCTATATCTATATCTGTATCTATATCTATATCTATATCTATATCTATATCTATATCTATATCTATATCTATATCTATATCTATATCTATATCTATATCTATATCTATATCTATATCTATAGCTATACCTATAGCTATACCTATACCTATACCTATACCTATACCTATACCTATACCTATACCTATACCTATACATATACCTATACCTATACCTATACCTATACCTACACCTACACCTACACCTACACCTACATCTACATCTACATCTACATCTACATCTACATCTACATCTACATCTACATCTACATCTACATCTACATCTACATCTATATCTATATCTATATATATATTATACAATTGAGAGTCACACTGTTATGTATCACTCTTTTAATTTATTATTGCCATGTGTCATTCTATTATCTATCGTTAGCCGCATGGCACTGTAATATTTGTTCATATTAAAGTCTAATAACTTTATTACTTTTATTGCTATTTCTGTTTAATCATTATTTCTATTTAATATATCTATATCTATATATTATACAATTGAGAGTCACAATGTTATGTGTCACTTTTTAATTTATTATTGCCATGTATTGCTTTATTATCTACCGTTATCCGCATGTCACTATAATATTTGTTCATATTTAGTCTAATAACTTTATTACTTTTATTACTATTGTTGTTTAATTATTATTTCTATTTAATATATAGGTTACGTTTCATATATAGATTGTTATAATAATTATTAGTCATCACATATATTTGGAAACTTAAGTATTACATTGTGACACATTTACCAGGAAGCTAATAGAACCACTCAATTTATCTGCCAGTCTTATCCAAATTCAAGGGATGACCCTTTCATTTCACTTTTTAACATAAGAGATGTACATCATTTAGTTAAGAAAGCATTCATCTCAGATTCTTTAAATTTACCTCATTTTCGTTATATTTATTTCTTATGGGTAATGTTTGGTCCCCCCGGTGTATTTCATTTTATCATTTAATAAAATATGGTAAATGTTCCACAGCATTTACCCCACTGATTTTTTTGGTTTGCCTACTGAATATAAAAGAAATTGGAAACTTAAGTAACTTACGAAGTTTACTATTATATTTGGAAAATAAAGTTACTTACAATATTTATATCACCTTAATGAAATGGGAAAAATAATAAAAATACCCCAAACTTTGAAGGGGTGTGAGGTAAACACCCCCCAAACTTGCATATGTAATTTAAATACCTCAAACTTTATACAAAAAGTTATGTTCGCACCCATATTCTCATTATTATTTCATTCAAAAATGTAAATTTATGGAGTTCATTGCATAATTTAAAATAAAAAATTAAAAGTGTTGCAATTATATGGATTGAGGTAACATTATCTATTTCGCAATGAAAGTTAGAATGTTAATTGTGTCTTCAAGAATTCTAAAATATTTTAAATTCTGCAATTAGCACCACAAATTTACATTTTTGAAAGAGAATATTTGACTATGGTGTTAAAATAAATTTTTATATAAAGTTTGGAGTATTTAAATTACATATGCAAGTTTGGGGTGTTCATCTCACACCCCTTCAAAGTTTGGGGTGTTTTAATTATTTTTTCCTAATGAAATTGCCTTCGTATATATTTATAATTATAATATAACTACTTTTAGTATGCTCGAGATTTATAGTTTGCATATGAATATGAAAGTAACAATCCCCTAAATATTGTAAACTATCATATTTACTCTTGTTTCACACCCTAAACTATTAAAGCACAACTAAATATTTATAGTTTCAATAATAACAAAATGTACATGGACCTCAAACATTAGCACAATCAAACATGCATTTTTGATGGTTATGTATAAGATGTTCCAAAAGTGTAGACATCATTCACACATGCATACAGAGTATATTTGTAAATTAAAAAAAATTACATCCACAAATTATATAAAAAATATGGGTGCTTATATGACAAAAGGTAGTAATAAACTTCTCCTTAATTCACAAATTTTACTCTCTCGTGCATCGCAGAGGTAGAATACTAGTGAGTAACACAAATTTATTCAAACCAAACTAATATAATCCCTATGATGCTTGTGAAAATTACAATGAAAATAAATCTTGCTCGTATGGACAGTTCAGTGGATCACATAGGTGAGGTAATTGACACAAGTGATTTAGAAATGAGTCCCGTCAGGGATGTTGGAAAAATGTGTTGAAATTTGCATTAAGTGGTCAATTTGGGACAATATTTTGAGTAGGGTCCACTTCCGATTTGGGTCAGGTCAAAGTGTTTTCGGATTTTCCTTGCTAAGGGCTACAATTCGATATATGGTACACTCAAAACGGATAACGGGTGAATAGGAAATTGATTCTCGGAGTTCACTCGTTGAAATGGAAAAACTGAGAAAATGATGGGTATCTAGTGAGATTTATCCCACACCGGAAAACTCAAGGGATTTTCACCCCCTTATAAAGGGAACCATCTTTGAAGGAATTAAGATTCTTAGGTAGAAAGGTTCTTTTCATGCGCGGGGGGTGGGGGTGTCGATCAAATCTCGAAAACGGAGAAGAAAAACCGCGACTTGCGTGCGCGAGCGATATTTTAGTCTTCTTATTCTTTTTTTACTACTTTTCAATTTATTTATTTTTTTCAATGTTTTTGTATTCCATTTTCCCTTCTTTTTCTTCTTCCTGTTTATTATTTCATTTTCATTTTTATATATTTTTCGGATTAGTTTCTTTATAAAAGATTTTTTTCTCACCGTATGAACTTTTTACTTTATTTTCTTTTTATTTACACTTATTTATTTCCTTTTCTTACCTTTATTCTACCACTAATATATTTTTGAGAAAATAGCCACAAAATAAGACTAAATTAATCCCTAAATGCACAAATAGGATTATGTTATTTATCTTCCCAAAATAGGACTAAAATACCGTCTATCTTCTTATTCTACATTTTTACCCTTCCCATAACTTAATAGGATAAGCATATTTTACATTAAAATATAAAAGAAAAATAACAAAAGGTATTTCAATTTATAAAAATATAGTAAAAAAATAAAAAGAAAGTTAAAACAATATTTTAATGTGTTGTATATGGTTTTATTTACTTTTAAAGTTTTCTTTAAATTATTCTTTATCACTATTTATTATTTTTTAATTTAAATAATCTGTTTTAACTTTCTTTTTATTTTGTTACTATATTTTTATAAATTGAAATACCTTTTGTTATTTTTCTTTTTGATTATATGTAAAATATGATTATCATATTAAGTTATGATAAGGGTGGAAATGTAGAATAAGAAGATAGACGGTACTTTAGTCCTATTTTGAGAAGATAAATAATATAGTCCTATTTGTGCATTTAGGGATTAGTTTAGTCCTATTTTGGGGCTATTTTGTCAAATATATATTAGTGGTAGAATAAAGGTAAGAAAAGGAAAAAGGAAATAAATAAGTGTAAGTAAAAAAGAAAATAAAGTAAAAAGTAAGTACGGTGAGAAAAAAAATCTTTTATAAGGAAACTAATCCGAAAAAATGTATAAAAATGAAAATGAAATAATAAACAAGAAGGAAAAAAAGAAGGAAAAATGGAATACATAAACATTGAATAAAAATAAAAAATTGAAAAATAATAAAAATAAGAATAAGAAAACCAAAAAGGGGAATAAAAGAGTCAAGACGATAAAAGTAAAAAAGGAGAAGTTTTAGGAAGAAAAAAATGATATGTGGGACCACTTGGTGAAGATTTGTGAAAGGTGGGATTTATGGCTGAATGGTTTCCAAAGAAAATGAAAAAACATGGAATAACAGGTCATCAACCGATCAGGGACCAGCGAATGAAGATGAGGTGCAAATGTTAGATTATTCATGAATAACGGTAAGGTGGGATTATTGTAAGAAGACCGTTAAAATGATGGATTATTAATTTTCATTTTCCCTAAGAAGTATTCATACTAGATCAGACTACATTAGAATGATTTGGAATAAATGAAACAAATTAGATCAGATCTAAAAATGGGTGATATTCAATAAACTCAAATTAGATCTAAAAAGTTCATAGAAGAAACTTTGAGATCATATGAACGGAAGATCTTCTAAATCCACACAAAACTGATTATGATGATATAAATCGTAAAAAAATTAATATGAATATAATAAGTTAAAATTCTTGAGATCAGACTGGAAGCAATAAGTCCACATAAAAACTATTTATATTAAAAGAAATGGTTGCAACTTATGATAATATGACTTACAAGTCTTTTGATTTATGTCGAGAATCTGATATATCACAAGTTGATGAATGACACACCACTTATTCAATCGACAAGTCATGTGAGTGACGACGAACACCTTGAATGGCGATGAATGACAGACTGTTTATTGAACATGTAAAATGATAAGAGTGAGACACACCTGGAATGAAGCGGTTGCTACAGATTTTCTATTGTAATTCAAAATCGGAAATGAATTTGAAGGAGTATTACTTGCCAAATGTGTAAGTAATTTTTGATGGCAAAATGGATATCCTTGGATGGTGCTGATTAAGAAAAATAGATGAGAACCAGAGATCGGATCTAAATAAAGGAAAGAGGTGTGTGTTGGTTCGCAACATAGAGGTGAGAGAGTCAAGTAACATAAGGGTATGTATAAATAGTCATACCCTGGCCTATCTCAGCTTTATCGAGAACCGTTACACAACTCTACCAAGGGAATTACTATTCACTCTTACTGAACTTTTCAAGGCGTCAATAGTGTCATACAAATTAAAAAGGAGTTTTGCCACTTTTAATCCAACGACTATTATGTTACTCACACTTTTGATACCAGACTTTTAGTTTTTCTACTTTTAGTCCTTTGACTATTGTGCGAAAGACAATTTTGGTACCTGTCTTTGAAAACTTCCACAATTAGTCCTTCAACTATTATAACAGTGACATTTTTAGTCCTCTAACTATTATAATAGTGACACCTTTAGTCCCCCACTTATTGTGTCAAAATCACGGCGGAATGACTAAAGTGTCAATTTGATCATACTCAGAGAATTAAATGTGAGAAACATTGAAGTCGAGGACTAAAAGTGTATCTCACACAATAGTCAGGGTTTAAAAATGGAAAAATTGAAAGTCGAGTACCAAAAGTGTCACTGACCCAATAGTCGAGGAACCGAAAACGGAAAAAGATTAATTAAAGAAGAAGGTACAACACTAAATTCTCTGAAATCAAATCTTCACTCTAAATGAAAGAAGAAGGTATAAATCAAATCTTCACTCTAAAAAATCAACCAAAAATAAGGGCGAGTACTACATCCAGTATCGGTAATAGTATGACAATTATGTAATATATGAAAGGTGTTTCATTTACGACACCATTAAAGTAGAGCTACTATGAAAGTCTACGACTAGGCTATTAGATATGAAACAATCAAGAGAGGTGCTTTGATCTAAACAAATGGGGCAAGAACAAAGCCAACAAAAAGAAAAAGAGACAAACACCGATCACTCTGTAAGAAGTAACCGTGAGTTGATAAAACATGAAGAAGTTAGGAACTCTGAGACCAGCAAGATGCTAACATATCTCAAGACCTTGATATTTGGCCACACCATGAGGAGCTAGGAGTGAGAGGACCATTTTCCACTCTGACTATAACATGTATTTGGGATGAAGAAAAAGAGCCTACCCCTCCTTGTGCCATCATATTAGAAAGACACCTCACCAACTACGCCGCATGATAGGGAAATGCTTCCAGTATCGAGAGAGCATTGCTTCGTAACACAAACCGGTTGTATTATTCGACTCAAGCCGCGGAAAACTAAGGACCGAAGTACCTCAACAAGAACCTCATTTGGACGGTCTGAGTACCCAATTAGTCATGTTGATCCTCCGCTAAGAGGTCAGACTATTGAGAGTATTCCCTAAGATCATGTTCTTATTTGAACCAAAACCTATAGGTAAAATTCAAATAAGAACATGATCTTGGGAGAGAAATGAGAATGAATTTGGACCGTTAGACTTGCTCTAAGTGAAATTCAATGTGCATTAGATGAAACTGTAATGCGCATAAGGTGAAATTGAAATGTGAAGTACAAAGGGTACAATACAGTGACATTATGTTAAATTAAATTGTGCATCAGGTGAAATTGAAATGTGTACTAGGTGAAACTGAAATGTGCAGAATAAAAGGTACGATGTGATGTTAGTTTTGTACTTTTTATTATGCACATTTCAGTTTCACATTATGCACACTCGAGTTTAAATTTTTATTCTGCACATTTTAATATCATCTAATACACATTTCAGTTTCACCAAATGCACAATTCAGTTTCACATTGTACAATCCAATGGTCCAGATTCATTCTCATTTCTCTCATCGGAGTTCGTTCTTACCGGATGAGCTCCCTATATGTATTTATATACCTCCCTAATGTATTAAAATAAATTTGTGAGTACAAGAAATTTGAGATTACATTTGTTGAAACTGAAAGAACAAGATAAATGAAAGAAAAAGGAAAAAGTACATCAACAATCAGGGGCGTAGCTACGGGAGGGCCAGTCCTGGTCCTCGCCCATACCAAATTTTAAAATGTCTATACTTTAAGTGTAAAAAAATATGTGTACTTGTTTTTTCAAAAATATTATTTGTACCGGCCCAACCCGGTCCAGTGCCTTGGCTTCACCCCTATCGACAATTGAAACTCTTTGAGGGGATCCCAATTGAATCAAATATTGATCTGTTATAATTGTTGTAAAATTTGATGATTTTTTAAAGATAAGGCCTGAATATTATTTCCTCTAGATGTGATAACCTGAAACACTATAGAGTTGTTGCTAGTTTATGCGGCGAGTTAAACCTTTCATCAACTTGGTATAGAAAATAGTTTGTTTCGTTTTGAGTTTTTTTTGAGTGGCTTATGGTGAGAAACAATCATCAAAGTCCACATTAAGATTTTTTATAGTACGATTCATTTTAAGTTTTGCGAGTAATCTTGTTAACTTTGCCACAACTACTGTTCATTGGATTCAAGCACACATAAAAATTCACACACAACCGCTCAAATTAGACACCTACATTTTATTTTATTTATCTTTACCAAACTGACGTGCACTCGTCGTTAGGTGCACTCAAAATAATAATCAATACGACACAAATACGTAGTATAGTGCATTAAGGTTCGTATCCACAGGGAAAGGAATACTTTTCTTTTATATAAATAATAACAAGGGGGGTTTAGATTTGTTTGGTTTAATAACACTAAGATAAACGACCTATATGAGTTTAATTCAATGAGATGGGGACTTGGTTTTGCTTTTATCCACTTAATGAAATGTTCGTCGATCCCGGTTATATCTTTAACTATCTTCCTCTCGAATACTCAATCGAGGAGTATATCCAGTTCATCGAGGGTAGTTATTAATAACGAGATGCGTTCATTAATAAAACTTACTATCGAGTCAATATAGAACAAGCGTCGTATATTAACTTGATAGTAGCAATAAACTTAAGATGAAAACGATTGAGATTGATAACCTCAAAACAAGCGGTTTATTGGTTTAATCAATATAATTAATTCCCCTTGGCATATTAACCATGAGATGCATGCATTAATATTCCAAGTTACTACCGTTGAAAGAACCGGATTAATAACAAGCGTATTAACCGATTGATTCTAGTAATAATTAATATGAGAAACAATACTAGTTGATACTCTAAGTAATGTTTAAGATATTAACATGAAATATGAATAGGAATTAATCAATACTCAAGGAAGAATATTAAAATATATGAATCCTACTATGATTAATATCAAGATGTTAACTAATTGTCATCTTAGCAACACTCCCCAATATAATCATAGAGGAAGAGATAGCTATTACTATAACCAATGTCAAGATGTTAACTAATTGTCATCTTAGTAACACTCCCCAACTTTGATATAGAGATAGTATTTTGAAAGAAAGAATTAATATTCAAGGAAGAAGATTAAAGAAAATAACTCACAACTTACGAATTCATTAAGCTTCAAAGTAGCAAAACCAAGATGGAAGAGTTTAGCTCCTCATTTGGAGACTAAACATGATGAAAAATATAAAGAAAGAGCTATTCTATACTGAGCTTAGATGTACAAAGGGATTGGATATGTTATTGTGAAGGAAAGGGGTGTATTTATAGGCTTTTGGGAGCTGCAGGGGCTGATACCCGACCGGGTATATAGGATACCCGATCGGGTATCTTAGGAAATTTCCCGGAAAGCCACATTTCTGGACATACCCGGTCGGGTATGTCGGTTTACCCGATCGGGTATGTGACAAATCTTTACGAAAATTTGCTCCCACGATCCTTTGTTCCCGGATTTGATTTGGACAACCGAATCAAGCAAATACCTGATCGGGTATTGCCTATACCCGACCGGGTATAAGAGTAATTTTTCCAAATCGAAATCTTTCATGTCTCTTTGCACTTTCCTTGATCTTTTGAGGTCCCATCTTGATCCCTTGGATGAGTTTTGACCTGTTTAGCTCAGAATAGTCCTAATCTAAACAAATTATAAATAATTATGAAAACAAAGTATTACACCAAAAAATGTGTAATTTCCACAACTAGAACTAATAAAAACTAGTTAAAAATACAAACATACATGATAGGAAATTCACACTATCAAACTCCCCCACACTTAGTTTCTTTACTCGTCCTCGAGTAAAGCCAAATGTTTACAAGTTTTTCATGTCTTCAATAGTTCAACAATTTAACAAGAAAGAGCAAAAGACCACCAAGGTTTGTACATGAGATTTAAATTGAGTTTTAAGCTCAAAGATTAATATTTTCTTGGGTTTTATGGCCTTCTATGCTCTTCTCTTGTTTTCAACTCCTTCATTCCGCTTCTTGAGACCACCATTGCCCTGTAAAAAAAAAAGAAATGAACCTCTAATATCTCTCATTTTGCCTAGGAGCCTTTTCAGGTTTTCATCCTAGCCTCTCGTTTTGTTTTGTTCCTTTCTAACTCACTCATTAACATTTTTTTTATAAGCCCTTTTTGCTTAGATTGCCCGTTTTTTGGGTTTTCAACCTAACTAGCATTTCCCTTTTTTTTTTCTTTTTTTTTGTTTGCTTTTTTCTTTTTTCTTTTTAAGAAAATAATGCAAGTTACAAGGTTGAAACAATTAAGTACGTACCAATGAGTGATTCCCCCTCACTTAGCTTGAAGCACTGTCCCTAGTGCTCGTCTCCGTCAAAGCCAGACTGACCGCCACCATAGTCTCCTCCACTGTAACCGCTGTCCTCCCCAAAATTACCCCACTGAGAGGGGTCATACCATGACGGGTGCTGCACTGGGGGACGCATAGAGGAGAAGTGCCCCTGCTGATGATGGTAAGCATAGATGGGGGCTATTGCCCGTCGGTTGTCCTCGTCCATGCGGTTGACCCGGAAGCTCAAATCCCGGAGTCCTTCCAATAGAGCACGTTGGTTCTCAAGCACTTGTGTTTGATACGGATCGTAGTGGGGTTGGTCGTGAGGTGGAGCTAGAATATCTTCAAGAATTGGAGGGGCTTGTTCTTGTGCGGGTTCATCTTCTTGGTTTTGGAAATACGGTGGGATGGCTGGAGGGAG